GAGAGTCTCTTGTACCTTCAAACAATAATAATCTATCAGTCTCAAATCCTATTTAATTGTTAAAAACTAGACTTCTTAAGTATATAAGCATTTTTCGGGTTTGACTATCAATTTGGGGTATTTCGAGTCTGAATTTTGCCAAACGAATTGCGGAATCGGAATCAGGACGTCGAAAAACATAAAGTATGACTTTTCAAAAATTCAGATTCTTGGTCAAAGTCAAAGTCAACTACTTTGACCGTCGATTTGGAGTTCTTCAGGTTCGAATTTGATGAAACGGACAGCGGAAACGGATTTGGCACATCGAAAACTATCAGGATAGGTATACTCGGAAAAGATTAACGGTCGTTTAATGCTCGGTCAAAGCCATTTTAAGTTTTGGTCAAAGAAAGTCAACGGTCAACGATCGGGTCGAGTCGGATCAACGGTCGGGTCGGGTCAACGGTCGGGTCGGTCGGTCGGGTCAGACCTGTCAAACCGGTTCAGACCGGTTTCGAACCGGTCGAAACCGGTCAAACCGATCAGAACCGGTTGAAAACCGGTTAAACCGGTTTCCAACAGCCACTCGCCCTGCGGCGGCGCGTGTGGCGCGTGAGGCGTCCTCCGGGGCCCTAAAAATCTCGGAAAAATTTCTAAAAATTATTTTGAGCGATTTCGAGATACTTACAACGATCGGTTCAAATTTTTGAACGGCGGAGAGCTCGATTTCAAATCGGTCGAATCTTTGACTGTACCACCTCCTCACGCGCCGCCGTCTACGGCGGACAAGGTTGACACCGGTGAACTCGGAACAGCACAAGGAACACGATGGTGCGGGAGGTGTCGTAAACGGAGCAACGATCAGCGGTGAATTTAAGATTTTCTCGGCGATAGAGCTAACAAAACCGTCGCTACTTTGACTGGAAATTCCCGACGTTTGGCCGCGTTTCGCTTCAATTAATTTGAAGGGTTTGTTCCTCGCTCGATGATGAACACAACGATGGTTTCAAAACAACGATCGGAATTCGGACGGCGTCGGAATCGAGTTTGAAAGTTGTGTGCGTGAGGAAGGATTTGTGAAATTGATTTCTGTTTTTCAAAACAGAAATCACGCATATAACAATTGTTGCCGACACTTCAAGGTTAAATTCAGGGCTTGGTCCCTGAATTTTCTTTAACTTAAAAACAAGCTCCAAGTTTTAAAATCTTTCAATTCAGTCCCAAATTTTCACCAAATTTTCACAATTAAACCCTCCAATTTCAATTAAATATTATTTTGAAAATCGAATTGTTACATTAGACATCTAGATCGTTCGAAAAATAGTTTAGACACCTAAATAGGAAAAAAAGATATAATTTAAACACTTATTCTCATATTAAGCCATATAAAAATACTATCTTTGTAATACATTGAAATTTTATCACATTCATATACCTCAACATATTCATGTATACATTCAGTATTTGTTGCGAAACTAGTGAATACTAATATGGGCTCAGCCATAAATTTTTTTTCCAAAGACGCCAGAAAAGAAATTTCTATAAATTTTTAAGGTCTAAGCTATAATATATCATTAGTTTATTGTATAATTTTTAAAATTATCAAATTAAATATTTAGCATTAGCTTAAGACATTTTAAAATTTGAAGGGGCTAAACTCGTAACATTTCATTCCCGACCAGTAACCAAAAAGAGTACAGAAGAAAAATACGAAAAACAAAGAGTTAGAGGGAAGGAAATGAATACATTTTATTCTGCACAACTCAAAAACTTAAGAACAATAATTTTGAACCTCTTTGACGATAAAATCAAAACAATTATTCCTTGAAATGTTGGCAATCAAGTATCCAACAGGAAAAAACACAGCCATCCCGACTGAGCTCGTTCAAAAAATAAAACTCCTACCAAACATAATTTACTTACCATTCGATGGGACATGACCGAGAACGATTACGATGAACTACGCCTGCAAAAAGCTAGCATATTTGGCACCTAGGAAAAGCCTCTGGATGCAGAGTAAGGCGTTCTTGGTAACCTCAGCACTGTCATAGGTCATCAACTTCATCACCCGTTCCTTCGCCTTGAGATCGTTCACTATCACCCGGCCAGCAGGGTGGTGCTGAATAAACTGCGAGAGATCAAAGCAAGCAACAGCCAGAGCTCTCGGATCGTTAGACGAGTCCATAATTGTAATGAGGAACCTTAGAACCTGAGAAAGAACATCATAACTAATTACCACAGTTTTCTACTTGGATATTCACAATCTATTAAGTTATGCTTCGTTTAACTCATCCTGATATTCCCGCACATTCTTCATAAGCAACAAAATAACTAAAAAATTATCAAAACATAGATGTGAACAAATTGTTATGAGGATAAACACACTTGTCAAAGGCACCACAACTACACCAGTGTTCGTAAGGCACGCTAGGTTCTGCGCCACAGAGTAAGACAAACAAAAAACACTTTCGAGCTAGACAATTTTGATCAAGGTGCAGAAAGAAAATGAATACCCTTTCGGGCAAGACACATTAGATCAAGGAACATACATTATGTGTCTATACGTGCGTTTTTGTAAGGCAGAAGGAGCTAAAAAAATTCCTGATTTCATTTATTTTAAATTTTTTATTAACTATAGCTTTACTAAGTAAGAAAGGGGTTAATATCAACTCTCTAATGTTTCAGCATTCAACGTCAGACTAGTAGGACCATAAGGAAAACGTACATATTGGCCAACAATGAAGAAAACTGAACTAATATTCGAGTAATATTACCATGATTATATATCTTATGCTTATTTTTTATATACACGCAGATACGCATAGACACACATGCATACGCATGTATTATGCTTTATATCACTTGGGAACATGCTATTTTTAGTGCCATGCACCATATAAGGATCGAGAGTTCACCTTGCTCCCTTGACAAAACTGAGCATCACACCAGAGACTTAATTTTAAAGCATTATCAGACAATATGCATTCTTTTTCGTAAAACACATTTTTTTGTAAAAAAATATAAAGGTCTATACTCGGATATGAAATGATAGTTGCTAATACGTAAGCAATGACCAGGAAATTCCATACTGACAAATCAACTTCACTAATTTACCATGCTGTACTTTCCTCTAAGAGTAAGTCTAACAGACGTACCAAAAAACCAAAATTCTTACCCATGCATGGGAGTGCATGGCAATAAGAGGTTGAAGTTTCTCAGATTAAAAGTTAAAGATTTATGTTGTCGGAAACTTTTGGCCAGACCAAAGGACAATTTTTTTTTATATCCGAATCCCTCATCATAAAGTTACTACCCATAAGCAACGAAATAGCACGAGAAGTTGAAAGCCATGAGAAAAAAAAAACCTGGAAATCATTCTCTTCAAAGCATGAAATATTATCACGCCAAAACAATGGATCTTTATGCATGGGTGACCAATCAAGATGACCAAGGAGAACTTCTTGCTTATATTTATCGAAGGAACTCAATTTCTTAATGTTATCCTTCAGCCCATCTTCAAGGTGATTGAGAGCCTCCAAAAGATCCTATGAAATATCCAAATCAAATCCATAAGCAAAAGTCGGTATATAAAGAGAGTACATAAAACTTAGCCTTGCTGCATAGAATCTAACAATTAAGTTGAAGGAAAAATAAGATTTCACATGAGCATTATATAGCCAGATAAGAATTAAATGTTCCATTTTCTCACCTCATCACTCCATGCTTGTGCTTTCAAACTCTGAACAATCTGTGGTAGTCCAAGGTCAACCATCTGAGCACCGAACGTGCCTTTGGATAACAAGTTCCTAAAGGTCAATACAACAACCCTGACAACCTGGCCATCATTGCAAATCATACACACGTATCAAATGGTTAAACTAACACAAGGCATGCAATACATCCATGGTAATAGTAAACATTCAATGCTAACACAGAATTGCAGAAAAATGTTAAAAGGCAAAGGAAAGCTTGGAAAATAACAGAATCCTGCTCATATAGCACAGTAAAGGATGCATGGTTATGCGTACATTTTATTAAAGCAACATAAACACTACAAGGCAGAACTTGGATAACGGGCACATTAGAACATCTCACCTTCTCCTTTGTGGAACTCTTAACAACATCAACCAATCTTGGTAGAGCCCTAGATGTCGCTAAATACTCAATTGCTGGTTCATAGTAAGATAAAAGCCATACACAGAGACATGTTTCATAGAAAAGCTGCTACAAAGATTAGTTGTCAATTTCAGAATTATGTCACTCAAATGGCTTATAAAGAAATGTTAATCCTTTTTCAAATTTAACCACCTTAAAGACTGAAAAACAAGAATACCTGGTTAGACTGCTGGGTCGATGCTGGAGTAATTAAAGGAATCAGTAACTTCACCCCATCTGCTCGAACAAAGGAAGACTTGACAACAGGCTCCTTCAGTAATGCTGCAAGGCAGTTAATAGCAGTAGGAATATCATACCTAGGATGGGAAGGCTTCTTCAGCTGCAAAGACATTGGGCATCAAGAACTGTCATTTAAGTCGACAAATAGAAATAATCTACTTCAAAAGAAATCATTTTGCAACAGGATCAAGTGTAAGAAGGAGACCATCAAAGACTAGAAAATGTACAATAAGAACTTCCGAAGGCATGTAAAATCATAGGGAGAATCAAAGCAACATCTACCAAGGCGGACGTCCAGCCGTGAGAAATGAACAATGCATGCAAAGCAGTAAACTAACCTGTGTGCAAAGCCAGTCTACCAATTCCTTCAGTACATCATTAATGGTAGGGCCCCTTATCTTTGAGGCTTCTCCATTTGCAACAACGCCATCCTGGGTTCTTGGCCTTGCACTATAAATTAATAGAGAAAAGAATTTAAAGAATCATTAAATAAAGCATGCAATATACTATGCCATTTGGTTAAGGTTCTTTAAACCTCTATTTTACTACTTAGATGGATCACATATTTTGTACCTTACTATCAAGGCAAGTATCTTGCAGCTCTTTTCTTGTATGAACCAGTTTCCTTTCCACAAAAATCTGAAAGTAGACCAAATTTTGGATAGGTAGTTTTAGTTTGGATAATTTAGTACAAAATAGATAAGGAACCAAGTGTACATGGATGAACATTTCAAATTTAACCAACAAACAACTTTATTCAATTATTAAAGGTAATAAAGCCAATGAGTCAAAGAATAAAACAGAATATATGACACTGATAGCCATATATAATAAACCATGCTTAGTGACCTCTACACTAAAAAACTATTTTGATGCAGGAGCTGCATCTATTTTATGATAATTTATTATTTAAGCTTTATTTTTTTATAATAATTATTAATTATTAGACATATGATAGACGGCTAAGGCTGGGGATATTAAGTATTTTTAGGGTTATTAAGTATCTTAAGGATTTAAATCTCGGATTATGATTAAAACTTTGCGTGGAAGAAAGCAAGCCTAAATAATTAAGCAATTGGGCTTTACAGCCAACACAATTATTCCTATTATTTTCTTTGAATTAATAGTAAAACTAGAGGTTTTTTATAATCCTAAGCTTTCTAAAGTTCCACTTTCTTTCCAAACTCATTTGTTCAGCCTTATTTCTTTTGATTGTTGCTGTTTCCCCCCTTAAACTACATCAGTTTTGGTAATCCGAGCCTCTTTAGTTCCTAGAGTTTAAAGAGAGATTTACTTTTAAGCAATGGTTGGATGTGTTAGACCTTGGGGCGGAGGATATCAGTATCAAGAAACAGAATTGGCTTTACTACAATGTGAGACTGAAGAATAATCACGTGCAGTTTACGCTTGGCTGCAACAGGAACAAGTAGGAGCCCAGATGGAGATTCTGAAAGATGCGTACAACCAGTTTGACACACTGGAATTCATGGTGAAGTTGCTGATTTTCATGGCAATGTGCATGTGGACAAGAAAGATTATGATATGTTAGAACCAATCCGTAATGAATTAAGGAAGCAAAGAAAATGATGTGTATCCAGTTGGTTGTTCATAGCAGGACAGCCGCATCCTTAGAAGGAGAGTAGGAAATCTTCTTGATATATCAAAGCACAAAACATTGAACGAAAATTCTGGAGTAAAAAGAACTGATTCAGTTTTGACAACTGAAACAGATTCTGTCAAGAGAGAATTCATGGCTGAATTAAAGAGAAAAACAAGAAAACTTGAAGGTTCCAGTGGGATCTGAAGAGACAGGTTGTTCTAGAATATTTAGAAACCCAAATTTAAATGGTCAGTCAATTGCTAGTGTAAGTAATTCATTAAAAAGGCAATTGACAAAAAGGAAGGTGGGTTTGAAGAAAAATAAGTTGGCTGGACGTTTTGAAGATATTGACATTGATTCTGAACATAAGAAGCACATTGCATCTACGAGTTACTTGAATCATGGTTAGGTTCACCAACTGATTTTGATATGGTGGAGGCTACAGGTAAACATATTAGCTGCTTTGAAGCTGTTCTTGTTTTCCTCATAGGTGTCACGGTTAAAGTGATCAGCTTCTTGGGACTCTTAAATGTAGCACCAACATAGATGTTACTGTGTATGTTACAGATTATGAGTGAAGTAGCAAAAATTTTGCCATTGGAGTCAAGTTTTCCTAGCAGGGGAGAATGACGCAAGAGCGTTATCTATTTTATAATATTTTATTATTTCAGCTTTATTTAATAATATTTATTAATTATTAGACAAGTGATAGACAGCTAAAGCTAGGGCTATTAAATACTTTTGGGGTTATTAGGTATCTTTAGGGTTTAAATCTAGGGTTATAATAAAAACTTTGCTCGCAAGAAAACAAGCCCATATAAATAAGTTGTAGGCTTTACAGCCAACACCATTATTCCTATTATTCCCTTCAAATTAATATTAAAACTAGAGGTTTTTTATAACCCTAAGTTTTCTAGAGCTCCATCTTTCTAAACTCGTTCGTTCAGCCTTTTTTTTCCCTCCAATTGTTGATGTTTTCCCCTCTTAAAACTACACCATACTTGCATCTACAGAACTCTTGCAGCTAGCAGTAAATGTGGCAGAAGCTCCTCATAAGTACCAAGTCTGCTAACCATTGATAGCTAGAACATTTGAGCTAAGATCACCACCAGTTGCATAAATGTATATTTTCATACATGATAACAAATATACTAAAAAAAACATCCCAGTATTCTTTGACAAACAGAGAGACAATTTACAATGAACAATCACATAATAGTCTGTTGTGAGCAAGATATCAAGACTCCTGATACTTGCACATGCTCATTATACAGATGCAGATAAACTTTACCAAAATAACTCAGACTTCAAAGAAGAAAGTTCTAGAGAAGAGATAACTGTTGTAACTTTAAGGGTCCAACATGTACTTTTCAATAAAAAGAACAAAAATAAAAACAAAAGAAAGATGAAGTCCTATAAAAGCATAGCCATCACTAACAATATAAGGAAGCTTCCTGAATTATAAGCAGATTCAGGGCTGAGGAATCAACTCATTTTAGAGTAAAAAATAAAGAAGTGAAGCAAATATGTATAATTTAATATTCAAAAAGGTGATCATAGCTGTTAGACGGTTATCAAGCAGATACTATACATTATTTTACGGTACCAAACTGATGTAACTTTAAGGGTGCAAAACCTACTTTTAGTTTTAAAAAAATTCTAAAAGATCATAGCCATCACTAACAACATATGGCAGCATCTTGAGTTATAATCAGATTCAGGGAAAGGAATAAACTCAATTTAGTCAAAATAAATGCTATAAAGGACAAGTGAAGCCAATATGCATAGATATAACATTCCGAAAGGTGATTCTAATTGTAAAGCAGTTGTCAAGCAGACACAATACACTATTTTAGGATGCCAGTGGACATAATTGAAAGATTAAAGAGTATTAGCTACCTTACTTATCCACGCAGACACACAAAAAAAGGGCACAAATTAACTATGAAAGCAATTTTGGGTAAAAACTTAACTTAGGAAAGGTTCATAAGTATCTTCACTAGCAAGAGACTTGTCATGAAATAATCTGGCTTGTTTCGGATAGGCTGCAATATAAAATATCAGCAAGTAAATTCATTTGTGCTGAATGCAATTGTCAAACAACCACCTTTCTTCAAAGTTCAAATACCTGTAAGCATTTCATCAATTAAAGCTAGAACATATTCCACTGTTTCTTCTTTTAGGATATCACGTAATATGCTAACAAACACTTGAACATAGGCTGGACCATCCTGTCACAGTTAATTTCACCAATCAATACTATTGGGAAGACTGTACAAGATTGTCCTTTCAAAAAACCTTATTCAGTTTATGATGGAAGAGAAGCTAATAGAACTAGTGAATTAATCGGAGGGAGCAAAAGAACATGTCCACAAAATAATATCCAGCTCATAAGTTAAGAAGAGCTATAAAACATTACATCATCCAACAACTGTGCCCTGACACTTTCACCTCTATTATCATAACGCCTTAACAGCTGAAGGCCTGTTCCTGAAATCAGCTTAGTCGTCATGTATGTTTCCCATGGGATATCCCTCTTCAGAACCTTTAAAGGAAAAAAATACATTTATCAACAAGGAATCACCATAAATCTTCGAGAACAGTTTAAAGAACAGAATTATTTAGGTTCGTTGAAACTGGCAACCACAAGAAAAACATACCGCCGGATAAAATGTTTAACAAATAGGATTGGGGAAATTATAATAAAAAAGCCAAATATAATTTGCTTTGTTTAAAAAAACAAATAAAAATGTGCTTCACTGCCCATGATGAGTTGAACAAAAAAACAACTTGAAGCATTTTAAAGAATCCTAAAACCTCTGTAGTCCATCAAAGCAGTTCATTAGGAGAAACCCTGACCTATATTCTGAAAAGATCCAAGTTTTTCATGGTTTCAAAACCTAAAACACAAAAACAAGTACTAAGGACTGGTCGTCACATTCAATAACTAAAAATGAAAACCATCCATGGAAAGCAGCCAAATCTACCGTGACAAACGATATTCTAGTGCCTGATTCTTGCAGGAAAAATGCTCTACTAATTTACCGTTGAATTCTTCAAATTTATATTTGATTTTGTATCCAATAGCACTTCAATAATTGCTTCCAAAAGGAAAAGGAAAAAAAATAGCAATGCTCATATGATCTTAAAGCTTTCGAATCACATAAAAAATTGAAACTTTAATATCACAAAATCGTAACAAATAAAACAATTGTGATGATCAGATTATCAACCTGTTCAGTAGTTAGTTCAGCACGCTCCATTGATGCTCAAAAAAGAACTTCGAATCCACGCGAACTCAAATCCCTACAAAATTTCACACTAAAAAAGTAATTCTATAAAATATATATACCAAATCTGAAGAATCAAAATTGACAGATCCAATCTGATTAATCTAACTTAAATTTATTCCACTTCTCAATTAAAATTTCATAAATTAAAGTAAATATAAAAATCAGGAAAGTGAAAGAAATTAATTACAAAGAATGTAAGTTGAACTTATGAGATAACGTGAAAATTCATCAAGTTAAAGAAGAAACGATTAAATGGGAAAAATTATGTGAAATCACCTTCAAAATTCTTTGACGAGACAAAAAAATCTTAAAAAGAAAATAAAATGTGAATGCAGAGATGAGAAAATAGAGTGTTTTGTTTGGACTGAGAGGAAATTTGGAGGAAATTGGAGAAAAAGTGGAAAATAGTTAAGAGGGAAGAGGGGGGATAATTATAAGTTGAAAACGGTGCCGGATCGTTTACCAAACTTTTGGTTCTTTCTTTCGTGTCCTCTGTTCTGGCTAGACAGTTGCCGTGAAGTAGAGTCTAGATCAGGGATGTTAACGGCGCTGGAATTATTTTTCTTCACCCTACTTTGAATTTAATTATGTTGCTCAATTCTAATTAACAGTTTATTTATAATTTTTAATAGTTTAATTTATTTTTTATAATTTATTTATTGATATAGTGAAATTTGTTCATACTTATTTTTTATTCAAGCTTATTTAGTTAAATTTTTAACATTTTTTATTGATTCTTGTGTGAT